CAGGTTTCCCGTCAAATTTCCAGGTTTCCCGTCAAATTTTCAGGTTTCCGTCAAATTTCCAGGTTTCCGTCAAATTTCCAGGTTTCCCGTCAAATTTCCAAGTTTCCGTCAAATTTCCAGGTTTCCCGTCAAATTTCCATTTCCAGGTTTCCCGTGAAATTTCCAGGTTTCCCGTCAAATTTCCAGGTTTCCAGTCTAATTTCCAGGTTTCCCGTCAAAGGCCAAAATTTTGATGTTAAGATCAAACAAAATTTGGATGTCAAGGCCAAAATTTGGATGTTAAGGCCAAATTTTGGATGTTAAGACCAAAATTTGGATGTTAAGGCCAAAATGTGGATGTTAAGGCCAAAATGTGGATGTTAAAGGCCAAGTTTGGATGCTAAGAGCCAAGGTTTGATTGGGGGCCTGGGAAAGGAGGGTGCTGGGGCGCGGCTGTGGAGTAGGTTTGGTGCGCGCCCGTGGGGGACTGGCGGGATGGCTGGGACGGTCGGTCGCGTCCACTAGGGCAAGTTCTAAACGACCTTCGTCGCTTCTTGCTGGAGCCAAAACGCCAAACCCCGGGGTTTTGGATGCAAAATTTTTGTGTCCAGATATATATATATATATATATCAAGGAACATTTTGTTGTTGCAAACTGATTTCATCACATTATTCCTTAGGACTGCTGCTTTTAGGCTTAGAGGTTAGTGAAATGCACAATATTGTGGTTAGTGAAATACACAATATTGAGGTTAGTGAAAATATAAGGGTCAAGAATTTTTTTGTGGTTAGCAAAATCTACCTTGTTGGGGTTAGGCAAAGATCTCTTGAGGTTAGCAATTTGGCTTGTAAGGGTTAGAAGTGCGTCTCTCACCCAGAGACTCTTCACCCAGAAACTCTTCTTACAAATACTTTTCAACCAAATATTTTCACCCATAGACTCTTCACCAAGAAACTCTTCTTGCACAGACTTTTCACCCATATACTTTTCACCCAGAGACTCTTCACCCAGAAACTCTTCTTACAAATACTTTTCACCCAGGAACTCTTCACCCAGAAACTCTTCACCCAAAAACTCTTCTTGCACATACTTTTCACCCATATACTTTTCACTCAGAGACTCTTCACCCAGAAACCCTTCTTGCACATACTTTTCACCCATATACTTTTCAACCAGAGACTCTTCTTGCACATACTTTTCACCCATATACTTTTTAGCCAGAGACTCTTCACCCAGAAACTCTTCTTGCACATACTTTTCACCAA